GCTATAATAGCTGTACCTGAATGGAGCAATTTAGATCAGATGAAGACTAACAATTTTGTCTTGTTCCAACTGAAAATGTAATGACATTATTCTAAAAGGAGACATTGTTTAGGCCCTTATTAAGTACCTAAGGAAACATTACATTGTTTAACCCTGTAGGTTTTTAAAGGAGTTCCATCATTAATAGTCGGATTGTATTTTATATTACTACATACAGAGTGTCAAGGAAAGGGGGGGTGGGTGTTATGAGTAGTATGGATGAGAAATGAAAAGCAGTTCTGGTGCCTACACTTGAAGAAAGATGCACCTTAAGTGGAACTCCTACAACCCAATATGAAGAGCTGTGCCAGGCAAAACTATCTAACCTCAACCTTACTGTTCCAAGAGCCAACATGCTTCAAAACTTGAGAAAATCTGAATGGTACACTAGACTGCTTAGATAATTGAGCAGTTTTATTTGCTGAAGATTTGAGGGCCAACAGACTGTGTAATCTCACACGTGAATGTGATATAGTCAGAACAGTTTCCCTTCCCCCCATAAAAGCATAATTAAAAGGCTAGATTTACCCCACAAGAAGATGGTTCACAGCCAATCCCGAACATCACCCTAAATCCATCTATTTATGCTCACATGTAGCAAGGATCTCCAAAGCAGTGAGCCATCTGATCTTTTAGGTCTGCCGCAATACCAATACATGGATAAAGGACAGGATGGGTGAAGGATAGGATTTTCCATTTAAGTTTGAATCTCCTTGCTTTTGTGAGTTTACGATAAATCAGACAACATTAGGTTTACTCTCTCCTCTATATGCGCATATAGTGAAAGGTTTTTTTATATTTGTGTATACACACACACGCAACAGAACCCCCTGTGATATACCAGGTACCACCCTTGGAGCACCCCTGGAAGCCCTGTGTGCAATCATGGTTATGTCTCTACCTCAGTTTCCCCTAGGGCGCTTTCAATACGTTCAATGAGGCTTGTATTCAGTGAACCATGCCCCTACAGGGGTCTGCGTTTATTTAATCAACTGCCACATATGGTATGCAAACAAGCCTTCTCCTTCTGCCACAAATCCCCAGGCTTCTCCGCTGCTGGGATCTCTGAAGTCTCTCCCTTGCTGACTCAGGGTATCTCAGGCCTTCCTGCCTGGGAAGCTTTGCAGTCTCTCTCCTCTGGCACTCTCTCTGTGTTCTGGGTGTGGTTCCTCTCCCCAGGAACCTCTGCTCTGCGAGGAGATATTACTGGGAATAGTCTCCTACCCAGCCCCATACAGGAACAATCTCCTCAAGAGCTTTCTCTCTGTATTCTGGGCTCCTGCCTGAGCCCTCATAACCCTTTATAAGGCTCAGGTGTTCCTTAACTAATTAAATAGCACCCAGCTACTTCTCCAATTAACTATTCACAGACAGATCTGGGTTAGCTTATCCTCCTTAGCTGAGCCAGTCACAGGGAGGCAGGGTGCCTGATCACTCAGAGTCAGCGCCCATGACACCTCTTTAATGTTAAAATACTAAATACAAGGCCTATATCTAACTTGTTTTTCCATTCCCAGCAACCCACACTTAAGTGGCACAAATTGAATAATAGTTGCTAGTCATACATATGACTCACTGTCTAATGTGACATCTGAAGTGTAAAAAAGGTTGCATGATCTGAAAGAGTCAGGAATCTTGTGGAATTTCCCATTTAAATACTGTGTAGGATAAAAGTTCTTACTCCCACCCTTTGCCACTGCTGTTTTTCAGCTTTTGTCAGTGTAGAAATGCACAGTAAGACTGACCTAAAAAATGCCATAGCATTATCAAAATGTTCACCATCATTACTATTACAGATGCATAAAATCATTAGCACATCTATGGAGTTACCTTTTGATACAGTCAAAGCTGGTGACCACTGTGACCTCAGGATATCAAGGCAAATACTCCCATTACTGTTTATGTTTGGATGGTATATTTTTGTTGTGAAAGCAATCTGTGATTAACAAACAAAGAGGTTAGCTTCAAGTTCTGCTTACTGCAACTGGCACCATAGGTGTTGCCCCTTTAATACCCAGTTATTTATTTTTAGAGCTGCCACCCACAGAAGTAGCACAATGTGGACTTTCATCACCACTAATAGCCTATTGTACAAATATCTGACCCTATAACCCAGTTTTAAAATTTGGTCAGCTATATTAATCAATATGAATAGGTATTTTACTAACTTTTCTGCTTTGAACTAAAAAAATTGAGTTTTAAACAGTCAAGACACAGAAACAAAGCCCTAACCTAGGACTTTCATAACACTTTTAGGACAATTAAGTATTTACCTTTGGTGGTTTGAAAGGATAGTCTGTTGGAAAATGTACTGTGAGAAAAAACACTCCCCCTTGATATGCACTATCAGGCTGTAAAAGACAAAAAACAGGATTTATGCTACTGGGGTTTTTTAAGGGTCCTTTCTGAATTTAAAGAGCCTTCTCAAAACTATGGCAACTTTGGACCAAAACCTATTCACCAGCACACAGCCCAAGTATGCGGGCTGTGCACTGGAAAGGCATGCAGCTGACAATGAGGGATGGAATCCTCCCCCAAGGCTTTGGAGCAACAGCAGAGCCATCCCTGACCACTACTGCAGAAACCCACACCCTACTGAACATCACTTTTTGGGAGAGACGAGAGAAGGAAGAATGTTTGGCTGGTGAATCTACTTACTTGCTGATCCACCAGCTCCAAGCTAGCTCCCACTACATGTTTGGGCAGCAAAGTGCTCCTGGAACTCAGCTCCATGGCAGCACAGAACCTCTGAGCAGGCCCTCCTTATCAAGCCCTCTGTGCAACAGAACCACAATTGCTCTGCTACAATCAGGGCCTTCCTCTAGCTTTAAGCCACAAATATACTTACCTTAAGAAGTGATTTCTCTTTGCAGGTGCAAAGAGTAGGGTTTTCCAGCATTACTCAGCTGATCATGATGACATCAGGAAGTTTTTAAAACACACAACATCTTTGTGACCTGTACAAATCTGTGAACATGCATTTTGTTAGAGAACATGTGCACAGGTTTAAGTCCAGGTTGCACACAGTTAAAAGAGAAATATCTTTCTGTTGCAGTCATCTGTTGAGGAAACCCTTCATTTTCATAATTATGAAGGAAAAAAACCCCAAGATTAGGTGGTTGAGGGCCTCAAAGCTAAAGCATCCCTGTGACTTCTGAGTAAGTAAAGAAAAAATAATAGTTTCAAATTTCTTTGGTATCTTTAATGTAATTGCTAGGAATCTGATGCCTGCAACAAAACAGTGCAAGTACACTGGCTTCTCAGGTTCCCTGTGTAGATCTAAGGTGGCCTGTTGCTCTTCATTTTGGAGGAGAGGGGAAAGCTTAAAAAAAAATCACCATAAAGATCATTTTTACTTAGTAAAGACTGCCATAGGGAAAGCCATGTGAATACTTCATATAAAGATATTTCCAAATGAAGAAATTGTTGCAGTAAGAGACAAGTCTAAAACAGTACTGCTAAGAAGTCAGTATTATGTAATACCAAACCAAAAGTGGTTGTCAATACTTCTAGCTAGGAATACGATGATAGTTTGTATGCATACTAAATGGACCTGTCAATGATCTTAAAAGCTTTTAAGATCAAACAAATTTAACACTGAAGAAGAGGAAAAACAAACTTGCACTGTTTGGTATGTACCACATAGAAAAATTCAGAATGAAGATAATCCTTTCCCTAGTCCATTAACATTGGATAACTAGGCTTGGAAGGATTAGATTTTTATTGGTAAATGTCAATTTCAAACAACAGACACAAACCAACAAAAAATATTTCCATCAATACTAATCAAAACGTACAGATAGGCAAAGTGAGAAAAATGCTGCTTGAGAACTTATGAGAGTTTGATTTAAGATATTCACTTTGTATATTTTGACATGTGACATTGACAATTTGTGTTTTAATGGTTAGAAAGCTTTACTTTTACCAGGTAAGTGAAAGTTTAAATTAATAAAAATAAAAAGGTTCTTAAAATAAAAATAATAAAAAAAGAATTCTGCCAAATCTACAATTTACAATCTAATAGTTAGATAATGAACGCTAATGTTTTTTGTAGGGCTGTCAAGTCATTAAAAAAATTAATCGCTATTAATTGCACTGTTAAACAATAGAATACCATTTACTTAAATATTTTTGGATGTTTTCTACATTTTCAAATATATTGATTTCAATTACAACACAGAATACAAAGTGTACAGTGGTCACTTTATACTTATTTTTTATTACAAATATTTGCACTGTAAAAAAAAATGGTACATTTCAATTCACCTAATACAAGTACTGTAGTGCAATCTCTTTATCATGAAAGTTGAACTTACAAATGTAGAATTATGTAAAAAAATAACTGCAATCAAAAATAAAACAACGTAAAACTTTAGAGCCTATGAAGTCCACTCAGTCCTACTTCAGCCAATCGCTCAGACAAACAAGTTTGGTTACATTGCAGGAGATAATGCTGCCCGCTTTTTGTTTACAATGTCACCTGATAGTGAGAACAGGCGTACGCATGGCACTGTTGTAACTAGCATCACAAGATATTTATGTGCCAGATGTGCTAAAGATTCACATGTCCCTTCATGCTTCAACCACCATTCCAGAGGATGTGTCCCCATGCTGATGACGAGTTCTGCTCGACAACAATCCAAAGCAGAGCAGACCGACTCATGTTCATTTTCATCATCTGAATCAAATGCCACCAGTAGAAGGTTGATTTTATTTTTTGGTGGTTTGGATTCTGTAGTTTCCGCATCTGAGTGTTGCTCTTTTAAGACTTCTGAAAGAATGCTCCACACCTTTTCCCTCTCAGATTTTGTAAGGCACTTCAGATTCTTAAACCTTGGGTTGAGTGCTGTAGCTATTTTTAGAAATCTCACATTGGTACCTTCTTTGCATTTTGTCAAATCTGCAGTGAAAGCGTTCCTAAAACAAACATGTGCTGGGTCATCATCCGAGACTGATATAACATGAAATATATGGCAGAATGTGGGTAAAAGAGCAGGAGACACAGCTCTCCCCCAAGGAGTTCAGTCACAAATTTACTTAAACTATTTTTTTAAATGAGCATCATCAGCATGGAAGCATGTCCTCCAGAATAGTGACTGAAGCATGAAGAGGCATACGAATGTTTAGCATAGGTGGCACATAAATACCTTGCAACGCCAGCTACAAAAGTGCCCTGCGAACACCTGTTCTCACTTTCAGGTGACATTGTAAATAAGAAGCAGGCAGTAGTATCTCCCGTAAATGTAAACAATTTTGTTTGTCTTAGCAATTGGTTGAACAAGAAATAGGACTGGGTGGACTTGTAGGCTCTAAAGTTTTACATTGTTTTGGTTTTGAGTGCAGTTATGTAACAAAAAAAATAAAATCTACATTTGCAAGTTACAATTTCATGATAGAGATTGCACTACAGTACTTGTAGGAGGTGAACTGAAAAATATTATTTATTTTGTTTATCATTTTTACAGTGCAAATATTTGTAATCAAAGATGACAAAGTGAGCACTGTACACGTTGTATTCTGTTCTGTAATATAAATCAATATATTTGAAAATGTAGAGAAACATCCAAAATATTTAATAAATTTCAATGGGTATTCTATTGTTTAACAGTGTGATTAATCGCAATTAATTTTTTTAATTGCAGTTTAATCTTTTTGAGTTAATTGCATGAGTTAACTGCAATTAATCGACAACCCTAGTTTTTTGTTGCTGTTTTAACTGTACCTGTAAAAAAGTTTACTACTGGTTGAAAGTTAGTATCTAGAGAGATACTTTACCCATCCAGACTTGTCATTTGAAACATAACCAATGTGAAATATTTACCCTGGGTGGACCCAAAAGTAGCATACAAGTCATCCTACGTCCAGACATGGGACATTAATTCTGAAGGTGAATTTTAGTCCTGTGTTTTCGACAGTCCAGCAGGAAATGGGAGCATTTAAAATATATGTCATTTTTCACGTGTCTCTCAGAATCAAGTGCATTATGCCGATATCATGGCCTTCCTTAATGCCCGATATGAATGGAAGATGGACGGAAAAGGGATCTGTTCCCATTCTCCACTAGAGAAGTACATCTTCATTCTTGTGCAAGTTCAATACATGGAGAGAAAGGAATGTTTCTGCTACAGAATATTAAAGGTGAACTGCAAAGGGCGGGGGACTGGATTAAGATGTGTGTGTTATTCAGGTTGTCAAGGTAATTCTATTGGGACAAATTCTATCTTTCTTTTAAAAGATTTCCTCCACTTCCTCCATTTTTTGTGTTGAACAAGTCTCACAGCATTGTTAATGGGGTTTCATCTGAACTCTATGTCCCTTCACAGTTTTGCCATTCACCTTTCAGTAGCGCAAAGGGGGTAGAAGAAAGGAAGCAGTCATTAAACCAGAAGGGTAACTTCAGCTCGTGTGAATATGAATCCACTATTTATAAAGCAGGCCCAAAGTCAGTCAGTCACAGAGTTTGTGGGTCAGTGGCAAATCGGATAAAACCACCAGTGACACAGTTAGACAACAGGTTCTAACGTTCCATTGGTAGGTTAAGACCTAATCCTTTTCCTGAGAGGCAGGAGTTGTGTTGAAATATGCTGAAACAAGTTGTCCTAGAGTAGTCACAACTCCCTTTTTCTCCTTTTCACCATGTAATGCTGCTGCTGCTCACCTTCTTGTCATCAGATTTGGCTAGGGTCTCAGTTTCCCCTGTAGGTTCGATGGCTTAGCCCTCCAACGGAACCAAAAATCCTCTTTCTGTGGTAACAAAAAGTCCAAAAGGAAAGACATCTGGGCTATGATCCCCTTATCAGGGTCTGGGTAAACTTCTCTTCCCTCAGAGGTTCACTCTTTATGTATTTCTCCCAAATAGTCCTTTGCTCAGATCCTCTTCAGGCTTCCTTTTCAGGCTTCTTTCTATTCTTAAGCACTTTTCCTTTGACAAAGTTAGCACTTTTGCCCTTCTCTAACCACCTACCATGGAGAAAGCCTTACAGCAAATCCTAGCATTTCCCAGACCTTCTTCAGACTGAAGAAAGCAGATCTTTTATATCCTGCAGCCTATGGTTTCCATGATTGCTGTACTACAAGTCCAAAAATTGCTCTGTTTTTGGTATAACCACATCACAGGAATGGGAGGAACTTTAACCATTTAAAGGCCTAAGCGCACCCTGTGCCATCACAATTCTATTTAGAACTACTAAATGAATTACTATAATAGTTTTCCAGTTGGACTGATGAAGCTAACATATAACAGTATTTAACTGATCGTCCATGAACAAACAAACAAACAGGCTTTTCGTTTAGAAAACTGAATAGTAAACCAAAGGTTCAATGTAGACGGATGTTGTTTACCGTTAAATTGTTTTTAGTTTCATGAGCAAAAGGAGGGATTTTTTTAAGTTTTACTGAAAGTGAAAGTTAAGTGTAGCAAAGTAGGTGGAATATGTAGAATACTCTAAGTACTAAACTACTAGAATAGCAAAAAGTTTCCCCAAAATATTTAACCTGAATATCTGATAGTTCAATCCAAAACTATGTTGTTTATAGGTGCTCAAATGCTTGCGTGAACATGAATCCTTTCCACAGTCAGAGAAGTCAATACCTTAGGCCTACTTTCTAAGGGGTTTGGGGATTATTTCAATTATACGAATTACATACTTACAGGTCCCATAATAGTTGCTTGCCAATGGAACACTGAAAGACAAAGCACATTAAGTTTTTAGACAATTTTTCCCCTCCCTCAGACAAAAATATACTAAGACCTTTGCAGTAAATTATTAAGAGCTTACAGTCATCTCCAACAGGCCCTGCAGAACAGTGGGCAGGTGGGTCACGTTGTAGATCACTTAGTTCCTATGAGAAACATGAAAATATTGTAAATGATTAAAAATATATTTACAAGGAAAAATGAGGTAACCAAGAATCAAGCCAAATTCAGTTCTAATCATAGTTACATTAAAATAAGACATCTATGACATTTAAAAACAAAAAACAATAGAAATGTAAGTGCCAGTGAAAATGGAAAGTTTCCCCAAATAGATAAAACATTCCCTGCAGTGTTTGCAATGCAAGAACTGCAGTACTGTGCAACTGACATGTAAAATAGATCTGCAAATTATAAATAAATCGATTACACTTGACATTTCACTGTAGAAGACGAAAAAATTAAGATTGTTATTTTAAGTTCAATTATTTAAAGTATTCAGGAAAAATTGTAAATGCTTAACTGAGTGTTCCTTTAACTTTGCAATGTTTTGCATGACCTAATCTTGGCCCCATCCATGTACTTCAATTGATCTAAAGTAGTTTGTAAAATGTCTGATTTTCCCAAAAGGTGCTCCACAAATGTACTATTATTAAGAATGCTCATAAATGAACCTGAAAGCTAGCAGAATTTAGCATCCCATTGATGTTTATACAGAAACAGCTTCTTTACTTCCCTAAATCATATTTTTCAGTATTACTTACAAAACAAGAAAGATTAAAATTGAATAGAAATCTTCATAGAGTATTTTACAAGTATGACTTTATACCCTTTAGTAATGAAAAATATCAATCTTGGCTAATTTACCCTTCCTTGCTATTCATGTTTTTATTTTAGTCCTTAGATATAGCCTTTCCAAAGGGGAATATTGGGTATGTCTTCCTTGTCCCTTGCTACTATCAATAGTCCTCCTTATTGGAGGTTGTGACAACCACCCTCTTTTTAAACACACACATAAAAAGAAGTTTTTTCAGTTTTACATTTGGTGTTTTACCACCTTTGAAGTTGAGACACAAAGGAAGCCAGGCATTTCAATAATGTTGGTTTGATTTTGGTGTTGAATTTAATTTGACATGTTAAGTTCTCCATTAATGCTGTGTCCTAATTTCTAGTGTATTCTTTTTCCTACTTGCAGCTAATAAGAGCTTTGCTTCTACTAATACATTAATAATGTAAGCCTTATGTTTTTGAAGGCAACGTTTAATTGGGAGATCTAAAAAGAATCACTATGGGTCCTCAGACTATATTTAACTGTTGTCTTGATTTATAATCCTATCCCAGTTTTGGGTTTCCATGTAATTCCACTAAATATAAACAAAGATTCCCATATCCCGATATCCTCTCCTGATTGGTCACTGGTTATTTTAATAAAAAGTATTTTTAAAAAGATACTCTTCCTAAAATTGTCTGGCTAGTAATAGAGCATGCTAGGGCACAGGTCACTCAGGTGGCTAACTGACTTTTAAAGGTACAAGTTTGAGTATAAAATAAAAGGAGGTCTGCAAATGCTTCCCATACTATTCCTTAAGTAGAATCTGTGGATGCGGCTTTACTACTGACTCTCTCTTTCCACTCAAAAATTGCTAGCAAAGGCTCAACTGTTTCTAAAATTAGGATTTGAACTGGAAACAAAACTATTTACCTCAGCATCTGAGTCACTTAAATGCATGCATCAAGGCAATCTTTGAACTTAGTCATTAGAGGAGAAATTTCTCTAGGTCCTACTTATTAAAGCCAGTCAAAAATACCTACCTGTTCTGGAAATTAGGCACATGCAAAACAACTAGTTTCAGAAAGGAGATCAGCAGGAGCATTCAATATATGCAATTAATTTGTTTTGAAGATTAACTGGATTCGGTGTTGATGTTTTAAGATCATCATTGCAGTTAGATGATCTTACAAAAATATTATATTTGAAGAGATCTGATCACTGGGCTATGCTGCTGAGCTTTTCACCGTGTTCTATTTTGCCAGTTTGTTACATCTAGCAAACATCTTAAGTCTGATATAAATGTCCTTTTGGACACGCCCCACTTGACAGAAAACAAAAGAGCAAATACTTGGCACCAAAATTCAGTCACTCTCTTCCTATGCATTTCTCCTCCTGCCCCCAATCTCAAGGAGATTTATTAGGTAGGATGAACCTTTCCTGGAGATTCCTAAACATAAGCAAGAGATCCCCATGCTACTGGGAATGGGTCAGCCCTAAAGGACATATAAAGCTGTTATTATAGAAGCGTACAGTCTTAGATTTAAAAAGGTAATGTAACTCATTTATGTATGTATGTTTCCCATTTTAACCTTGTAAACTCCTTTTTTTCTTAGTTAATAAATCTTTTATTTATTACAGGATTGGCCACAGGCATTGTCTTTGGTTTGAGATCTGAGTTCAACTAACCTGGGGTAAGTGACTGGTCCTTTGGTACTGGGAGTAATCTGAATATGGTTGTGATTTTTCGTATAAAATGACCATCAATCACACAGCCCAGCTTGCCTGGATGGCAAGATAGACTGGAATGCCCAAGGGAACTGCTGTGATTCCATGATAAGACTTGTTATAGTGCTTTAAGAGGTCACAATTTTTACTGGGTTGGTGAAACCTAACTATAGAACACAAGCAGTTTGGTGTTTCTGCCCTGCCTTTTGACAGTCTACCCTGAGGTTGGCACTCTCATTCATGAGCCACTCCAAACAGCATGACACAGATGCAGGGTAACATAGTAGGGGGGCCATTATTCTGATACAGAAGTATCTCCTCCTGTTGCAGACTGAAGTTGTGCACATGTGGTCAATACATTACCTACAGCTGTTAGGCAAACATTTTAATGTACTTATTCAGACCAATCTGAAATGGTGCTTTATGTTGTTAAGGAAGTCATTTCCTGCAAGGCCTTAACACTGGGACAGTTTACAAAAATATTTTTCACTGGTTTTGATAAATTGGTATTAGAATTTATAAAGGCTGCAGCACAGGCAGGCAGCCATTTTTTAAGAATAGTTTTTAAAGAAGTTTCAATTAGACTGGTTTTCAGCAGTTTTAGCTAAAACCATGGTAAGAGCAAGTCCAGATATGGCTCCCTTCGGTTCCACTGTACCAGACCTAGAACTGGTTAAAAAAATTTTGCAACATTTTCTTAGTGAAGATGAATAAATAAAGATATCCTCAAAAATGGCCCATTGCATGAATGTGTGGATTATGTGGGAACCATTAAGAAAACTCCTGTGCTTGGGAAAGAATAGTAAACCCAAAGCAAATAAGCTATACCTTTGATCAGAGTAAGTTCAGACAGAGCCTGTATATACTATTAAGTCAATAATCTATGAATAAAACATGGTTTGGCCTTACCTGAGTAGGCAGGACCAACCATACTAACTCAATTTAGTAAAACGACAACAGTTTGAGCCTCTACACGTGGAAGGCCAGGCCAAGCTATAATCTAATAAAGGTCCTATTGTGATACAAAGTGACCATATCACAGTAGTTATTCTAGGTGAGACTGAAATTTAGGGTAAAATTTTCAAAGAGTTTAAAATACTTGGGGCTCCTAAATTGCCTAAGCTCGTTTGAAAATATTACCCTTTGTTACAGACTAGGACAGCCAAGATTCCCCAATTAGGAGTCAGGGGGACTGCTGGTTTGCCAGTGTTAAGAGCTGAACACTAAAATGGCCTATTGTGTTTAAAAAGTTTATTCACACAGAGCACTTTTTCCTGATCTACTGTCTACACCATTAAATGAAAATCAAGAGGATTGGATCTTGGATCCTTCAAATCTCCACTCAAATCAGTGTAGATACCCTTCACATTGAACAACTATATAGTATCAAGAGGCAAGCAGCAGTAGCTACAGCACAGGAGCTGTGGAAATCTTATCCAAGGTTTAGCGACACAGCCTTGTCACTAAAAGTCAGCGTGTGTAAACGTACTTTATCGGCACTTTTGTCGACAAAATACTTCTAGCCCCGTGAGCGGCATTAGCTTTGTCGGCAGGAGAGCGCTCCTGCCAACAAAGCCATGTTCACACTGCCACTTGCGTCGCCAAAGCTTTTGTCTTTCGCGGGGGGGTTGGGTGGGGTTTGTTTTTTTTAAAGCACCCGTGTAAGACAAAAGTTTTGTCGACAACTTCGACAAAAGCCCTAAAAAGACTTCTTGCAAAGCCGTACAAAAGGAAGTACTGCTAATTGGTAACATTCAAAAACAGAGAAAGTTACTGAACACTAAGGGCGTGGCTACACTTGCGAGTTACAGCGCATTAAAGGAGCCCCAGGGCAGCTCATTACCCATCCACACTGGCAAGGCATGTAGAACGCTCTGACTCCACGGCTAAAGCGCTCCTGATACTCCACCTCGGCAAGTAGAATAACGTTTGATGCACCCCCGCTGGAGCGCCCCAGCGTCAGTGTGAACGAGGTGTTGCATTACTGCGCTCTGATCAGCCTCCAGAAATGTCCCATAATCCCCTTAAGTCAAGTGGACACTCTAGTCATTGTTTTGGATATGCCCTTTGAAAGCTCCGTTTGACAGCCGGCTGCTTATCTGCTCTGAGACAAAGCAACCATTACTGTGGAATGCTGTGAGAGAGAGAGTGGCGGGGTGGGGGAGGTCTGCTGCTGTCTGAACTTACAAGACAACATGTTAACATGCTCTCAGCCCCCCCCAAACCCACTCTCTCTCCCCCCACATACACACAACACACTCCCTGTCACACTCCACCCCACCCCCTCCATTTAAAAAGCTTGTTGCAGCCACAATGCACTGCTCTCTGTGGCCGTTGTGGCCACCCCAGTGCGCTGTCAGTGTGGACAGACTACAGCGCTTTCCCTACTGCGCTCTACGAAGGCTGGTTTAACTCAAAGCACTCTACATCTGCTAGTGTAGCCATGCCCTAAGGGTATGTCTATACATAAACCACTGAAGCTATGCCCTGTAGCACTTCAGTGAAGAGTGGTTCTTCCACTTCTGTCAGGAACCCATCTCCCCATAAGGCAAGAGAATTCTCCCATCGATTTAGCACAGGCTACAGGTCAGTTTAACTGCATCACTCAGGAGGGTGGATTTTTCACATACCGAGCCACATAGTTATACTGAC